CCTAAGCATCATCACAGCATACAAAATGTGATTTCCCATCCAGAATATACTGCATAGTGACTTAATCATGAATATTATTGTCCAGAATTTTCCATTTATAGTTCCTAGAAATTTTTACCCCTCTTTCTGACCCTCTGTCCTTTGTTTTTAAAAATTATCTTTTTCCTTTCCTCCTTTTTCATTTTATTTTTTCTTCTTCTTTCCTCTTCTCTAATTCTTTTCCTTTTTTCTTTATCTTTATTCATTGACTGCTCAGCCTCTACACACTAAGTATCTAGACAGGTCCAAGTGAACCAGGACCCAAATATATGAAAACAATTAGGGTCATAATAATCCTCTATTCCCACTGAATACAATGCACAAAGAGTGAAAACAAAACAGAAGAGAGATTGCAGATCACCTCCTCCTGCACACCTCTGAACATTCAGATTGAACTTCAAGAATTAAGAAGAAACACGCCATCCACCAGATGACTAGAAATCACCACAGGGTCATAAGAAACATGGGAAAGCAAGAAAATATCTCTCCCCCAAGGGAAAAGAATAACTCCTCTTCATCTTCAGACACTACCATGAAACTCATGGAAATGTCTGATAAAGAATTTAGAATATTCATAGTAATGAAGCTAACAGAGATGGAAAAGAAGAGAGACAATGAACTGAAGAAGAGGCAGGAGAAAGGAGCTGATGAGTTCCAGAAGTAAAAAAATTCTTGAAAGATCTAAAAGAGGAAATACACATTTTAAAAAAGAATCAAATGGTTACCTCTTAGAGATGACGGCTATAACAAAGGAAGTCAAAACCTCCCTTGAAAGTATTAAAAGCAGACGAGATCATACAGAACATCGAATCTCAGATGCATATACACATAGGCTAAAAAGGCCCTCACCAAATGAGCTTACAAAGTAAACTACAGATTCAGAAGTGGTCTAATGCTAAGGATGGAGACCAGTGAGATTTATACTGAAAAGTTAGCTGGGAACACGTAAGTTAGATCTACAGAGCAGTTTGACAATGGTTAAATATTAAAATACATATGAACTGCAAGGAGATAAATGGAAAAATAATACCTATTAAAATATGAAATATAAACAGACATGAAACAGGACTAGGCTAAGATAAAAAGTAGCAGTTATGGACCAGCAGTTAGTGTAATGACTATGTCACTGGACTCCCATGTAGCCAACTGTGGTTCGAGTCCTGGACCTGGTGGCTTAAGCTCATGCCAGTTGTGTGTGAATGTGTACCCAAGATCCCGAGAGGAGAATGGAGGAGAAGGGATTGCAATGTGGCCATCCCACCTGGGGTGATTTCTCACTTTCTTTCTCTCTGTCTCTCTCTGCCTTTCTGGTGAGTGCACACACCCTATAGCAAAAGAAAAACCTCCCAAAAAAATTGTGTAAGAATAAAATTAAACTGTGCCTATCCTGTTTTGTAAACATAAAGTTTAAACTTTGCCTTTTTCACTTCTGTACTAAAGCTGATGCCGCTCTCATTATAAACTGCTAAAGTTGTGAAAGCCCAGGGCAATTTGCTAGCTCCCTGTGGAAAGCCCCTTGTCTTACTTCCTCATTCTTTCCACGGACTTGTGTCTATATAACCTGAATGCCCCTTTTTTCGGGGCTTCACTCACCATCGTGTCTTGCATGACCAGGAGTGAAGTCCCAGCACGCAAGAAATAAAGCCTCTTGTAATTTGCATCAAGAACCGACTTTTGTGGTTGATTGGGGTCGCCGTAGCACTCCCTGGACAAGGAGGATTGGCCGGTTATCGGCAGGAACCTTTCATCTGGGGGCTCGTCCGGGATGTGACGGTCACACCACTCCTACAAAGTCAGCCTTGGGGGTAAGCCTTTGTCTGTCTACTATCCTTTTATCTGTCTTCATGTAAAAGTCTGTATCAGGTAACGCAGCTGTTCGAACTATTGTAAAATAGCCGGACTGTGGTCGGCAGACGTGCCTGGAGGACCACAAGCTGCAGCCCTGGGGGATGCCCCAAGGGCGAGGGAGGATCAGGGACTCCTGATAGTCTCCTGTGGTAAGGGCACAGAGGCCTTCACAGCCAACGCCCGTCAGAATCTGTTCTGAGTTTGTGGAAGACCTAGGTCGGTAAGTTGCTTTTTGTTTCTCTTGCCCTGTTCTTTGTTCTTTTGTCTGTGTTTTTAACCTATTCATTGACGATGGTACAGACTGTAGTGGCTCCTCTGAATTTGACTCTTAGACATTGGACTGAAGTAAAGGGAAGAGGTCATGACCTATCTATAGAGATTAGGAAGGGTCTCTGACAGACGTTCTGTCTGAGTGGCCCACTTTCAATGTCGGATGGCCACCCGAGGGCACATTTGATCTCAAAACTGTTCTTGACGTTAAAGACATTGTTTTTCAGAAAGGACCAGGAAGTCATCCAAATCAACAGCCGTACATCATCGTCTGGCAAGACCTGATACAAAATCCTCCCACCTGGGTCTGGCCCTGGATTCCCAGGCATCACCCTGATCACCCGACCCCCCTCACTCTCACCCTCCCCCTCCAACCAGGAGGGAGCTCAGGAACCCTGGTGTCCTGCCTGAACCAGCCCCCCACAGCATGGCCACTGCCCTGGCCCCAGCCCCGACCTCCACCTGCCCCTCAGCATGCGCTTTGTTCACAGCCGGCTGGGGACCCCACGGGCGGGGGGGGAGCCTGCACCGGGGCGTGGGCGGGAGGAGTGTTGCATAATCCCGCCAGCGGCAGGGTGGGGGTGGAGCGCTGGTCACCCCAGAGACACCCGCCTCCGCGGGAGTCTGGCCCCTCAGTGGGACCGGCCGCCAGAGTCCTGCCCTTCAGCGGGTCTGGCCACCAGAGTTCGGTCCCTTGGTGGCCTGGGTCACGGTTCTGCAAGTTGCGAGTTGCTCACGCCAGAAACACCCATGGCCAGTCCCGGCGCCCACGCAGCCCCCTACCAGGTGGGCGCGGGCGCCGGGTTTGTGATGCCCAGAGAGCGCACGCTGTGCTCCCATCCCCAGTGACCTTGAATGTACTCAGCGCAAAATGCAGGATGTGCTTGTAATTTCCCGTGCTGTGCTGATCTTGGGAAAGACACTGGATGGTGAACTAACACGAACACAGACTTCAGTGCAAATTTCACATTAGGTTGTGGACAGCCTAGTGGGTGGCCAGGACCGAGGGCTGGTGTGGGTTTGCGGGGCGGCTAAGAAAAATGGCGACAGTGGGCAACTGGGTGGCGCCCCCGCATTGCA